TATATATAAAATAAAAACAAACCAAACAATATGGGATTTTCAGTTTAGTCACTTATTAACTCTGAAACCACTTTAAAATCTCTCTAAGCCTTAAGAACTCATCTTTAGATCCTATACATTTACCAAAAGCATTACAAAAAAGAAACATACACATTTATATGAGTGAGTATATAGTATTTTTCATATTACCTGATCCTACTGGTACAAAATACAGTTAACACTGTCATTACATGGTAATAAAAAATGAAAGCATCCAAAAAGTAATTTATTACTCCTGAATTATTTAGTTCCATTTTCCACAACTGAGGATTGCCTACTTCTTTATATTCTTCACCCTACAGTTTCTAAACATTAGCTGAAACACATAAATCCCAAAGATCATAAAAGAATATTGTACAGTATAGTGTTGGAAGGTCCTCCCTCCACTATGGCTAAAGAATCATCAGGCCTCATTATGAAACTCATCATATATCATGTATACACCAAACTTCAAAAAATCTCATCTCTACTTACATTTTCTCTTTGAACTATTGTTCATAAAGAAGACAGAAAGATCATCCTAGAACATGACTCACTTAGTCATTTACCTTTTTACACCCTACCATAGCGCTTAATGAGTATTAGAAAAGGGAAAAACCTGTAATTTTCTTCACTAATAATGCTTTAATATGAATATACTATCAATAGCTTCATCTTGCTTGGTTCTACAATTAACACCCTTCATACCAGCAGTCAGGAGGTAAGAAGATGCACAACACTGGAAAAAATCTGCAGTTCGGGACCTTTCCAAATTATCCAGGAGTAATAATGCCAGTTTGAGGACTAAGGTGTGTCAGATTCAGGTCATGGTCTTTCCAATTGCTATGCATTTGAGAGCTGAACATGGAGTAAGAATGACAGAAAAAGAAGTGAGCCACTGAGCTGTGGTGTTTAAGTACACTGAACATCCCATGGACAGCCAACAAAATGAACAGATATGTCTGGGAGAGGGTGCAGCCAGTGTGCTCTTTGGAAGCAAGAATGATAAGGCTTTGCCTCACATACTTTGGGCATGTTGCTAGGAGGTGAAGAGAAGGGTACGATGCTGGAAAGGGTGGTAGGGTCGGCGAAGTAGAGGAAGACCCTCAAGTAGGTAAAGTGACATGATGACTGCTGCAATGGGCTCTTGGGTGTCAGGAAGTGTGAGGAAGGTGCAGGATAGAACAGGGTTCAAATCTTTTATTCACAGGGTCGCTAGGAGTAGTACTCAATTCGACAGCACCTAACAACAATTACAGAAAACATTACACGCTTTAGAAAAGTGGATTGTAAGGAATGTTATACCTCATAAAAAGAAATTATAAAGATGCACTATGCTCAGACATGTGCCATCGAGTCACCCGCAACTCATAGTGACAACAGTCCTAAACCCTGCTTTATCCTGTGCCAATCTTAATTATCTCTGACACACCCACCCCACCCCCCATTACCCCAAACACTGAATTAATCCATTTTATCAAGGGTCTTCCTCTCCTGCGCTGTCCCTCCACCCTCACAAGTGACATCCCTCTCCAAGGACTGGTCCCTTCTTGCAGCATGTCCGAAGTATGTCAGATGGAGCTTCAGAATCCTTGCCTCCAAGGAACAGCTTGGTTTAACCTTCCCCAGGACATATCTGTTCGTTCTCTTAGCGGTTCATAATGTATTCAATACTCTTCGTCACCATCACAGCTCAAAAGCATCAATTCTCCTTCTATCATCCCTAATCATTGTCAAGCTCTCTGATGCATAACCAGTGATTGCAAAGACCATGGCCTATGTCAGGTACCCCTTAGTCTCCCGAGTGACATCATTGTTATATTTTATTTTTACTGTTGAGATATATCTAAAGAAGAGAAAATGGTATACAGAGCATAGGGCTGTGAATTTCTTTCTGAAAGGGCCAGAGAGAGTAAGAATAGCATATCCCTCACTCCCCCAGAGCAGAAAGCAGATAAAGAGACCATGGCCCAGAGCAGATAAAGAGACCATGGCCCAGCCCCACGGTGCCCCTAGGGCCACACCAGCATCAAGACATTCATTCACTCACTGACAACTCAAGACTCACAATTGTACTGAGAATGGAGTTTATTACAGAAATTGGAGAGTGGGCAAAACAAAAAGTATCACCCAAAATATGTCCACTTCTAAGGCACAATTCCTCAGTTAGTCAGTCCAGTGTCTGGTTTCAGCCTCTGAGACCTCTCTGGAGGGTCAGCTATCTGTCAATTTATACTCATTGGCAATGAATTTGATTTCTGAGTTTTTTCACTTTAAGGAAAGGGCATAATCACTTCAGAAGCTGTCTCTGTGACTCCTCAGTGCTCTTTGTGCTGAAACTGAGGAGGACCTGAAGCACTTGCTGCAGAAAGTCAAGGACTGCAGCCTAAGGCTCAATATCAAGAAGACAAAGATTCTCACCACTGGGCCGATTTACAACATCAGGATACATCGTGAAGAGATTGAGATTGTTAACAGCTTTAGTTTGCTTGGCTCCAGAGTCAACACTCTTGGCACCAGTAGCCAGGAAATTAAAAGACATATTGCGATGTGAAGATCTGTTCTTACGGACCTCTTCAAAGTACTGAAGAGCAATGGTGTCACTCTGGAGACTAAGGAGTGCCTGATATAGGCCATGGTCTTTGCAATCACTTGTTATGCATCAGAGAGCTGGATAATGACTAGGGAGGGCAGAAGGAGAATTGATGCCTTTAAGATGTGGTGTTGGAAAAGAGTATTGAATATACCATGGACTGCCAAGAAAACAAACAGGTTCATCCTAGAGAAGATTAAACCAGGCTGCTCCTTGGAGGCAAGGATTCTGAAGCTTTGTCTGACATACTCTGGACATGCTGCAAGGAGGGAATCAATCCTTGGAAAGGGACTTCATGCTTGGGAGGGTGGAGGGACAGCGCAGGAGAGGAAGACCCTCTATGAGGGGGACTGATTTAGTGATTGGGGTAATTGGGGCAGATGTGTCAAAGACAATGAGATTGGCACAGGATAGAGTAGGGTTTAGGGCTGTTGTACATAGGGTGGCTATGAGTTGACTCAATGGCACATAAAAACAACAACAACAGTGGAGAAACAAAAAGCCACCATAAATACTACTACATATAAATAACAACACAACAACAACAACAACATATAAATGTCAATAGTTGTAGAGGGGCTTCAGGCCTTTTGTCCATAGGGTTGCTATGAGTTGTGCTCGGCTTGCAGGCAAATATATATATATACACACTACCAACTTGACCTAATAACACTGGTATGATCATAACGAACTATACTATCTACCATTAATGAAGTGTTATAAGGCATTTCCCAAGCAACTCTGTAACCCATGATACATTATGTATAACCATCTCCTCTTACAGATTAAGAAACTGAGGATTAGAAAAGTTATGTTTTAGGCAAGCAACCCAGCTCTGGTGGCACAGCCTTTTGCAAGACCCACTGCTAAATGACAGACTGTGGCATTTCTAGGGTCTGTGTTCACCTGCGGTTCCAATATGAGCAATCTTCTCTCCCCAGAAACCACAAGGAGGATTTCCTGCAGGTGGATTCAACCTGGGGGCAGTGAATTTTCTTCGTAACTCAAAATCAAAGGTATAGCCATGCAGTCAGAGCTGATTCACAGCTTCCAGGGTTTTCAGACGCTGTAACTGCAAATGAGATTTCCCTTATTTCTCCAGCTGAGCAGCTGTTGGCTTTGAACTCCCTGCCTTCTAGATGTCAGCACACATAATTACCTACTAAGGTACCAGTAAATAAACCCATCTAGTGGCTCTGGTGGTGTAGTTTTTAGAGAGTTGAGCTGTTAGCCCAAACTGTAAGCTCCTTGGAATGAAGAAGGGCAATCTCCTCCAGTGCCATCTGTAGCCTCCTTAGAAACCCACTGCAGGGTCAGCAATGAGTCAGTTCTGGCTCCACAATAATGAGTATGAGAAGGAAATTCACAACTCACCTGTCAGTTTCATACACTGGTGGCTTGTATGTTGTTAACAGTACTAAAATATATGCTAGCAATACTTCAAACACCTGCAGGATCGTTCATAATGGACAGGTCTCAGCATAACATCTAGGCTAAGACTACGAAGACTAACCAGGAGATCGATTCCTAAAAATTAGCCACTAACAAACCAATCACAAGATGCTATTGTTCACTATAGCGCTGGGAGATGAGTCCTCTAGGCTGGAAGGCATTTAGAATACAGAGTGGGCATATTAACAGACTCAAATGTACTAAAGACCACGAAAATGAAACAAAACAAGCAACATTTCATTCTGCCACTATGCAGCAGGGCCAACTCAACAGGACGTAATAGCAGATATTACAGATCACGGCTTCTCCTAGGGCATCTTTGTCCAGCCCAACCAAGACTGGATTTTTAGAACACAGCAAATGACTGCCAAAGACGGCTGCACATCTTAAAATCACCTCAGGAATGTAAAAATCCAGACACCTGGGAGAGCTAATCTCCACCTGGCACTTCAGCCTGGGAAAACTTCAAAGGCTTACTCACCACAATTAAGTTCTTCTGGCGTGATTGTTGCCACTGATCTTCCCTGGATTCTTCTAGGATATTCACAGGTGGCTGCTGCTTGTGCATTGCCAGACTGGGCATAAGTCTTCAGTAAATCAGCCAACCACAGGATTTCACAGTCACAGCGAAGTGCATTCGAGTCCAGTCGCCTTGGAAAAGGAAGCAGCAGCCAGAGACAAGTAGGAATAAGGAGATGTTCATCTATTCTAGACGGACAAAGCTCTCGTGGTCCAAAAGCCACAAATGAACCAGAATCAACAAATACACCCCGAGATCTACTGGCTTTTAAGGCCGCGGAGATGAAATTCTCTTTTATACTATGACATTTGGGACACACTCCAGCCCTAAGAAACTTCGAAATAATTGAGGAAATAAAATTTAAAAATAAACCTCAGTCAAAAGGAGAAATATATTTGGGTGGGGAAGAAACCCTGAATAATATTGATTAAAAAAAGTTAATTTATAATTAATGAATTTTCAAATATCATGCTTTAATGTCAAAACTAAAGAAGAGATGTGGATAGAATTGGTTTAGGAAAGCTTCATGGATGAGATAATGTAATAATAGTAATAACAAAGCTATCACTGTTATAAAACTCTTAGCATCTCACAGAAATTACATAACTGCCTATTAGCTTAATGCTTACCATATACCATATATGTATCACGTAATCCTCAAACATGACAAAAGGTAGACTATTACTTTAGAGTTACATCTTATGATTGGGGTTTCTCCTGGAAAGTTCTTGATGAAAGTGGCATACTAACGGCTGGCATGCTACATCTCAGCAAGTAAAACACAAGCAATTTCATCTTTCCTCAATTACTAGAAAAGAAATTGCTGTTTCTTTACTCAAGAATAAAACTTAGCTGTGTAGTAAAAGGATGTGGTAATGACAGTTAACTGTCTGAACACTTGTTCGGATGGTACTGCCAGTAACATCAGCTGAGTATCTCATGAATTAACTCACCATCAAAACCCCAATGAGCGAGGTTCTCTCTCCATTTTACATATAAGGAAATGAGAGCCACAGAAGAAACTGATCCCAGATCATAAGACTAAGGTGAGCCAAAGCAAGGATTTGAACTTGAGCTATTTCCCATCACCAAGTGTACACTACCACCACCCCATCAAGAGGCTCTGAATTGGCTCCAGGTATGTGTGCAGAGTAGAACAGGGCTCCCAAAGGCTTTCTGGCTGTGACCTTCTGCCACAGATCACCAGATCCTTCTTCCGAGGGACTTCTGGGTGAGTTAGAACTCCCAGTTTGCTGGTTAGTGATCATACACTTAAGTTTTTGTGCCAAGCTTACATTATCTCTCTTCAGTGTTTTCTTTCTGGAAAATGGCAATTTTATTTTGGGACAATGGCTGCTGAATGATCCTTACAGCCAACAATGGCAGCAAACAGCTGTTCATTATCATGTTCCTTATGTGGCCCTTGGCACTTGCCACATCTGCCATACCCTATTATCTATGCCTCTGTTCCTATAATCCTTTTAGAAAAAGTAGAACATCCCCATAGATTTTCCAACTCAGTATCTCTTCAGACAGAGTAGAATTGTCCCTGAGAGTTCAGAGTGGTTGAGTGTGGAACAAGGTGATGTGCTGACAGGTTGGCGGTTAACGACACTTGGCTGCTAATGACAAGTTCAACCCTAACAGTCACTCCGTGGGAGAAGGATGTGGCTGCCTGTTCCCTTAATCACTACAGCCAAGGAAGTCCTCTGGGGAGTCTATATATTGGGCTCTTATGAGTCAGGAGTGATTTCATGGCAGTAGATGTTGGTTTGGTCTGCTGGGAGTGGCACCAACAGTTTGCCCTAGACACTAAAGGGAAGACTGGCGGCCTGAACCCACCTAACAGCATCAGGGAACAACGTCCAGGAAATCCAGTTCTCCACAGAACACTGTAGGGGCAGTTCTGCTCCAGATTTAATGGTGTCATCATGAGTCAGAACTGACTTTACAGTAGTAACACGCTTGGGCTTCTTTTCTGCCCTGAACACTGCTGGTTATTTCATGAAGGATGTATCTGGAAATTTCTTGCTTCTCTCTCTTACTGGCATGGAGGCATTTGTTATCTCATTTAAAATATAGTTTTTATTTGGTTACTAATTATTTCACCTTAAAAAATATTTTGAAGGCTTTGTTGGTTTTTTATTCCTTATTGCACTGCCGAGAAAAACCATGATGCTATAGAGGTTTCCTTGAATTTTGTGTTTCCCTCCTGAATTCTACAAAGTTGTTAGGTGTTACTGAGTTGAGTGTGACTCATAGTGACCCTATGACCAAGAGACCTGAACCCAGTCCTACCCTGTGCCATTCTCACTACCTCCGACACACTGCTGCAATCAGGGTCAATCCATCTCGTTGAGGGTCTTCCTCTCTATCATGGACTCTCTACCTTTACATGCAGGAAGTTCCTTTCCAAGTAACAGCCTCTCAAAATACGTGAGATCAAGTTTCGCCATCCTTACCTCTAAGAGCACTCTGGATGCACTTTCTCCAAGACGTATCTGTTCGCCATCTGGCAGTCCAAAGGATATTTAGTGTTCTTCTCCAAAACCACAACTCAGAAGCTTCAATTCTTCTGTCTTCCTTATTCAGTGTCCAGCTTTCAGATGCACAGCAAGTGACTGACAAGACCAGGACCTGAATCAGGCACACTTTAGTCCTCAAATGGAGTTACTGCTCTCGAATAATTTGAAGAGGTCCCTAACAACAGACTTGTCCAATGCAATACATCTCCTGATCTCCTGAATCCTGGTACCAAGGGTGTTGATTGTAGGTAGAATCGCGGGAGATGAAATAATTGACAATTTCAACCTTTTCTTCATCTATCATAATGTTGACTATTGATTGGCCCATTAATGAGGATTTTTGTTTCCTTGATGTTGAACTGTAATCTATATTGAAGGTTGTAATGTTTGAACCTTCCCAATAACTATTTCAAATCCCTCTCACTTTTGGCAACCAAGGTTGTGTTATCTGCATATTGTTGCAGGTTACTGATGAGTCTTCCTCCAATCGTGATCGCACGTTCTTCATCATAGAGTCTAGCTTCCAGAATAATTTGCTCAGTATACAGACTACATAGATATGGAGAAAGAATACAACTCTGACACTCAGTAATCAAGCCCTGCTGGTACTCAGCTGTGAATGCAAAGGATAGAAGTTTGAATCCAATTAGCGGCTCTATAGGAGATCTGGCCTGGCACTCTCTTCGGAGCTCTGGTGGCCTACTGGTAAGAAGCTGTGTGGCAATCCTGAAAGCATATGGTCTTTCAGCTGCTTCACGGGAGAAGGATGGACAATCTTCTCCCCTACAATGAACTATCTCTGAAAATCCACTGAATAGTCAGCTACAAGTGAGTTCCAATTCAATGGCACACAAGAACAACCAAAGGAAACTCTGTGGAGTAGTTTGACTCTGAATCACTGAACAGCTATGAGTCTGAATGAACTTGAAGGCACTTAACTTACTGTTAAAAACAAAAAAGCACTTAACTTATTGTTAATAACAATAATTGTTAACTTATTTTTAACAACAAAATTTAACAAAAATTCTTAACTTATTGTTAACAAAAAATTGTTAAATTACTGTTGACAACAGGTACTAAGAAATATTTGAGAATAAAAACCTTCAAGGTCAGCAAGGAAAACACACACACAAAAAAAGGTTAGCAAATAACTATTTCTACCAGTACTAAATTGCCTTAATTCTACTATACAAATTATTTATTATTAAAAAAAAATAAATATTATTAGAAGATTTGAAAGTTGGGTAGACTTTAGTCTATTTAGTATATAACATATTCAGCATTAGTATATTTAGTATTTGGTGACTTTGATCTATTTAGCATATTTTCACTATTGTTGTTATTAAGTACTGTCAAGTTGATCGTGACTCATAGTGACCTTATGTACAACAGCTCTGAACCCTGCTCTTTCTTGAACCAATTTCATTATCTCCAATACACATACCCTCGCTACCCCAGCCACTAAGTCAATGCATCTCATCTAGGATCTTCTTTTCTTGTACTGTCCCTCTACCCTTCCAAGCATGATGTCCTTCTCCCAGAACTGGTCCCTTCTGGCAACAAAAGTCAGGCAGAGATTCAAACTCTTTATCTCCAAGGAGCAGCCTGGTTTCACCTTCTCCAGGACAGATCTGTTTGTTTCTTAGCAGTCCATGGCATATTCAGTACTCTTCTCTAGCCTCACAACACAAAGGCATAGATTCTTCTATTATCCTTAGTCATTGTCCAACTCTGACACATAGTAAGTAATTGTGAAGACCATGGCATGGATCAGGTGCACTTTAGTCTCTAGACAGATATTATTGTTCTTCAGTACTCCAGAGAGGTCTCTGGCAGCAGATTTTCTTAATGCAATCCGCTGGTACCAAGAGTGTTGATTGTGGAGCCAAGCAAGCTGAAGCTGTTAACAATTTCAATCTCTTCTCCATCTATCATGATGCTGCTAATTGGCCCAGGGGTAAGAATCTTTGTTTTCTTGATGTTGATCTTCAATCCATATTGAAGGCTTCAGTCCTTGACTTTCTTCAGCAAATGCCTCAGGTCTTCCTCAGTTTCAGCAAACAAGGTGTGTCATCTGCATAACACAGGTTGTTAAGGAGTCTTCCTCCAATCCTGATGTCACATTCCCTCTTATAGAGCCTAGCCTCCCAGATGATCTGTTCTGCATGTAGATTTAAAAAGTATGGAGCTAGGATGCATCCCTGGTGTACACCTTTCTTAATTCTGAACCATGCAGTGTTTCCTTGCTCTGTTTTGATGACTGCCTCCTGTCCAAGTATAGGTTTCACGTAACCACAATCAAGTGCTCTGGGGACTCCCATTCTTCCCAAGGTTAGCTACAGTTTGTTGTGATCCACACAATAAAAATGCCTTTTTCATAATCAAAGAAACATAGATTGGCATGGCTCTGGTATTCTCTGCTTTCAGTTGTATATAAGTATATGTTGTTGTTGTTGTTGTTATGTGCCGTCGAGTTGCCTGTGACTCATAGCAATCCTATGTACAACAGCCCTAAACCTTGCTCTATCCTGTACCAATCTTACTGTCTCTGACACATCTACCCCCATTATCCCAGGCACTGGGGGGGGGGGGAATTATATATATGCCTTAAATGGAACTACGGTGGCCTAATGGATAGACAACTATATTGCCAACTCAAAGATGGGTGGTTCAAATTAGCCAGCTGATCCATGGAAAAAAGATGTGCAGTCTCCTCCTATGCAATTTATAGCCTCTTAAAACCCACTGGAAGGTCAGCTATGAGTGGATTCTCAATCAATAAGAATGAGGGTGTATTTTTAATGGCTAAAATGAAAAAAATTAATATTCACAGAGATTCTTTCAAGACATCTCTTACTTCCACCAGTAAATTATGCAAATCATATTAAAAACCAGACTTTAAAAAATAATTTTATTTTTTTTAAAGGCTTTCTCTCAATTTTGGCTGATCTTATAGTCTTATTAAAACATTACTTTGTCACCACCACCCCAGTCATTTCTAAATTCTGTTTACATTCTAACTGGTTTAATCCATACTCATTATGTTTACATTCTTTCCTAAGGGCTATTCTGATTGTTTTAAGCAACTAAAAATTCCCAGGGACCAGGTAAACGGGTAACTTAAAGAAATTAGACTTAGCTGAGATGGTATTATACTCACAATCTCTTCATGGATTCCAAATGATTAAATGTTCCTGGAACTAAATGTGTAATTCGGTTGTTATGTAAAAATCTGTTGGGAGAGATAATATAACAAACCACTTTTTAAATACTTCCCAGTCATGTGAAAGATGTATAAACTGTTAAATATATCACTTTTCTCCTTACTGCCATGTTTATTCCATTTATTAGAGATTAATTTGAAAACAACAGTAATTATTTCAGGTAAGAATTGGATTCTTCCATTACCAAACGTAAGATTAGAAGCCCAGCTGCTACTATTAATTACACCAAAACCATCAATTTAACATCAAAACAATTCTCAGATGTTTGAATAGATATTGAAGCAGGTTCTAAAAAGCAAATAAGGAAAATCCATAGAAAGTGATAGTAAAAAAAACAAAGAGTATTGAATATAATCCAACTTACAGCCTTTCAAGCTTTGGTAGATGTTGAAATGATTCTGGATCCAAAGTTTCTATTTGATTAAAGTGCAGGTACCTAAAAAAATTTTAAAAAAGAACAGAAAGTAGGTTTAAACTATTGTAATTACTGTTTTGGATCCAAATTTTCTGCAGCTCAAAAATAAAGACTGTTGATTTTATTTCCCAAGTCATTTCCAGTTCAGATGTCAACAGAAAGCTTTCTAGATTTCCTACACTGTAAAGAAACAAAGAAAATATTAAAATTAAGCAAAAATTAAAGTTGGGCATAGATACTCATAAAGTTGAAGACTGTAAAATACATGTCTAGACACACAGACTTGGGCATAAAGCTTCCTAGGCCTTCCCCCACCCCTTTTAAAACAGATTACCTATCATTTTTTAGAAAACATTATCACCTCGACTATGCTGTTGTTGTTGTGTACCACAGTTGGAATCAACCCATAGCCGACCCTCCACCAGGTTTTCAGAGTCAGTTAACCATATGGGAAGAGATATTAATGTTATCATTAATTATTTTAACTTACATGTTAATTTGAAAGAAAAAAATCAAAGCTTTATCTCCAAGTATACTGCTCACTAACTAAACAACTAAAGGGATAAAAGAGAATGGTGTGAGATTAAGTAAGAGAAATAGTATTGCCTCTTGCATTCTTTAATTATATAAATATCCAAGGCTCATCATTCTCTTCAATTAAGATGGGCAATCTCCTCCCATGAGATTAACTGCCTCTGAAAAGCCACTGGAGGGTCAGCTATGTGTCAATTCTGACTCAGTGGTACACAACCCCAGCACCAACATACTGCTAGCTAACAAAAACAACTAAAGGAATAAAAGAGAATGGCATACAATTAAGGAAGATATAGCATTACCTCATATATTCTTTAATTATATAAAATATACAGAGTTTATCATTCTCCTCAATTAAGATGTTTCCTCGCATTCCAAAGTATATGTAATTTTGGCATAACTAATTTCTTGTAATTTTTCTGACTACTGTTCTGGTGACGGAGTTCCTAAGGAGTTGTGCTACTAAGCCACACAGTCCTGGTGGTTCAAATCCACCAGCTACTCCTTAAGAGAAAGATGCGTAATCTCTTTCTGTGCAATTTATAGTCTCAGAAACCTGCTGGACGGTGAGGATTAGCTATGAGTTAGTTCTAACTCAATGGCAATAAGACTATGAGACTGTGTTCCTGAATACTGATGTCTCACTTCGAAAACTGGTGTGTTTGTTTCCCTTGAACAATTGTGTCTGCATTATCCTCCTAATTGGAGTTATTAAACAGTCAGGTTAGTACTTTTTTAACACAACTCTCCTTTCCACATATAGCAAGAAAAGGATCCATTCACACATTCACTGCCAATAAGCACATATTTTACATGCATTTTACTTCTAGAAAATCTGGGGACCAGCAAAAGTAACAGAATTTAAATCAGCAGTTATAGGTTTATAACAAAATCCAAATAAAAAGCTTTGTCAAAATTTACCATGGTCTTTATTACAAGACTTTATTACCTTTTTAAATTATTTTAACTTTAAGTACAGCAACCTTCCACTGCTTAGGTCCCTACTTGGTTCTTATGTATTTCTTTCCTTAGACTGTATCACCAGTCAAAACCACCATAGAGTAACTCCTCAAGATTCTCAGAACATCTGCAACCAGATGTGGCTGAAGGACCCAGAAAGTATCAATAGACTTCTGTACCATTTTTAAACCTCCCTTTCCCCTCCTCCGGTTTTCTGTGCTCACTGGACCTCCATCCACACAGGGAAAATACGAGAAAGGCAGGATGAATTGGAGCAGAAAAGGGAAAACAATTCAAAATCAGTTGACTATCACAAGTATTAACAAAGATTTGCAAATCTTTGCAAAAGATTCAGAAGGAGAAGATAACAAAAAGAAAAAATACATAAGAACCTTTATGGGGCATCTCCTGTATGCTGAGTAATGATCTAATAAATAAATCATGGTCCCTCATCATCTGCAGCTTAGACTGCTCAAGGAGAGAGACATACAAAACAGACTATCTTAACACACACCCTATTGAATACACAAAGAAGATACTTTTAATCCTAGCCTGGGCATGTAAAGAGTCCTGAGTTAAACCTTAAAAAGCAGGGACTAAAAAAGGAGAAAAAGAAAATATGTGGCAATCCCCATTTTACAGTAATTTATTTTTAAAATGCATTTATTTGGAACCCCTGCTAAAGGCTGAACCAGGAAAAAGGCGTAGTTGGTGTGACTGGTGCATTCTACCTTAAGAGGCACTCAGAAAAAAATACTCTCACTCTGGATCCCTGTGAGGGCTGCTTAGAGGAGTAGACTTGGGGGCAGGGATTGCATAACAATAAAACAATTTTTCTTTCTTTTCCAGGAGAAGAGTGATTTGAAGGGGGCTGGTTAGGGAGAAAAGTGCAACTGTAAACCCTAAGTCTCTGTAAACTTTCATTAAAATTAATTTTTTTTTAAAAAGTGAAGGGGAAAAAAAGAGTATGTCTGCATTACAACACAACCTAATGAAAAGAAAAATCCCTACAACTGGTAAAAAAAAAAATACTTTCAGGCTTTCAGGAGGACGCTTCCAGACTGAGATAAACTGGAAAGAGACTCGTCAATGAAGATTTAAAATGAAGATTTAATAGGCTGTTTGACTTAATTATTTTGGTCATATAATTAAAAGGAAGCGGTTGTTGGAGGAAGACATCATCATGTTTGTGAAACAGGGGGACAAAGTGAAGGGTATGCTCCATGAGATAGACTGACACAATTTCAACAACAGTCTTCAGATTCATCATGAGATTGTGAGGATGACGTATGAACAGGCAATGCTTTGTTCTAATTAACGTTCATAAAGTCACCAAGAGTCAGAGTCAACTTGACGGCAACAAATAGTATGTTGCAGGAGCTCCGAGAAGCCCTGGGTTCATCTATCCTAACCTTCTCAATAGACAGTTGTGGAAACTAAGAACTAAAGGCAGTAAGTGACCACTTTCTTCCTCTAATACATTTAAGCCTTTGCCTAATTCAAATGCATGTTTGTTGACTCTAGTCTGGCATGTTTTCTGATACCTGCCAGGGGCTCCATAGAGAGTTCTCTAGACTAAAAAGCAGCTTATACGGATGTCAGGGAAAGGAGCTGTACCACCACAGGTCCTAGCAGACCCTCACAGTCTTTCTTGTGTGTTTTTCCTTTTCTCCTGAAACTGGGACGTCTTCCTATCCCACTGGCCTGTCGTATCTGGACACTAATCTAAATAGCTTCTAAGAGACTGTGTGTTTTTCAATCTCATCCTTGTCTGGCACTTCTTCAATCCAGCATCTTGGACCTGAATAAGAAGCTCCTCTGGATGGAGTCAGACATGATCCAGAACTAACTGTGCCCTCTGGCTGTGTGCAGTACTTTGCATACAGGTAAGAGATCATATCTAAGCCAGGGTTCTCTGCTGGCATGCTTATCTCCTCCCTAGACAATGCACTCTTTGAAGGTAGGGGCTGAGACCAAATTTTCTTATTACTTTCCTCAGACACTCAACAGTGTTTTCTGAATGAAACAAAAATCCCAACAGCGAAGACCCCTAACTAAGCCACTCTTAGGTTTAAAAGATGGTCCAACTGACAGAAAATATTCTGCCCACAATCATAACCAGGTTTACTGCCAAAATTAACTCCATATATGTTATTCCTTCTATTTCAATTTTCTCCCCAGACACCGCTCATTTCCTTAAAAATAATGCTCATTTACCTCCTCACAAAGCTAGACCATTATTGTTCTTATGAGTTTTCATGTCAAAACCAACTCACAGCTAACCCTCCAGTGGGTTTCAGAGGCTATAAATCACATTTCTCCTGCAAAACAGTCAGTGCATTGGAACTAAGTGTCTCTGGGTTGGAGGTAAAGTTCCTTACCCACTAGGCCACCAGAGCTTCCTTAGAAAGCTAGATTAGTATCATGGAAATGACAGCTAAAGTTTTCTAACTGTCTGTGATCCTCTTATTGAATTCTACTAAAAACCTGAATACAAATGTCTTTATAAACTCACCCTACATGTTTCTAGATGTTGTTGTTTGTTGTTATGTGCCTTTGAGTCGCTTGCGACTCATAGCGACCCTATGTACAACAGCCCTAAACGTTGCTCTGTCCTGTGCCAATTTCACCGTCTCTGACACTCCCATCCCAATTACCCCAGTCACTGAATCAATCCACCTCATAGAGGGTCTTCCCCTCCTGCACTGTCCCTCCACCCTCCCAAGCATGATGTACCTCTCCAAGAACCGGTCCCTCCTTACAACATGTCCAAAGTAGAGCCTCAGAATCCTTGCTTCCAAGGAGCCACCCGGTTTAACCCTCTCCAGAATGAATCTGTTTTCCTAGCAGTCCATGATACCCTCAATACTTCTCCAGTACCACAGCTCAAAGGCATCAATTCTCCTTCTATCCTCCTTAGTCATTGTCCAACTCTCTGACACATAACAAGTGATAGCAAAGACCATGGCCTATATCAGATAGACCTTAGTCTCCATAAAGACACCATTGCTGCTCTTCAGTACTTTAGAGAGGTCCCTAACAGCAGACTTTCCCATGGCAATGCGCCTTTTAATTTCCTGGCTACTGGTGCCAAGATTGCTGACTGTGGAGCCAAGCAAACTAAAGCTGTGAACAATCTCAATCTCTTCTCCATCCATCCTGATGCTGCCAATTGGTCCAATGGTGTTTCTAGATAGTTCCTTGCAATTGTGCTATGATTTAAACTTTTTGTTTGATTCTCTCCAGAGAAACAACTATATGACTCCTTATATAAACCAAGGACCCGTTGCCACCAAATCAATTCTGCCTCAGAGATTAAAGACCAAGTAGAGCTGCCCCATGGGTTTTCTAAGGCTCTAATTTTTCATGAAAGTTGATGGCCACATCTTTCTCCTGTACAACAGCTTGCAGGTTCAAACCAACACTTTTGGTTCAGAGCCAAATGCTTGAGCCACTGTGTCACTAAGACTCCAACTCCTTGTATATATCTTCTTGTGTCTGTTTTATCCATGTACATTAAACAAAGGAAAGTAGTACTCCCTTGGATAAATATTTATTTCCTATATGAGCATGTGTGTACTTCTAATACCAGGTTTTTGGGGTGAGTTTTCTTCCCCAATTTTGCTTTAAATTCTTTGAAAGTATTTTTGTACCAAGTCAACCAATGAATCACCCAAAGAAACAGTGTGGCAGAAGAAACTCAAGCTGCGTGACAACACACTTCAGGCTGTTTTCTATCCATTTGAGTAAAACTGAGTAACTGGAAATTTCAGGAACCAGTTTAGCTAATTTAGTAAAAGATGTCTGACCAAACAAACCAGAAACAAACAAAAACTTAATAGTACATTCTACTTAAATATTATACTGACTTTATAGCAAAGAATTATTTCAAGAGGTCAAAAGTATGAATTCAATTTTACTACAAAGTTACTTACAGTCCAGATACTAATTATAAATGCACAAACCTTGACAAGGTTTGTCTTCTCCAAAACAATGGTATCAGGAATGGGGGAAATAAAGCTACATTATGTAGTCACAAAAAGGAAATTGTGTACAATAAAAACAACATCCCTGTACTCTTTTGCTCATGTTATTACTACCACTAAAGACCTTTTCTTGCTATTTTTTTCTTTGCATGTGTGCCTTTCCCATTAAACTGTAAACACGTTCATCAAGACCAGGAAACTCATTTCTTCTTCTTTATATCATGACTGTAAGATACTACATCTGGTGCATAATTGTAACCCAATAAATGCATACTAAATGAATAAATGGATGGTTGGATAGATGGATGGTTGGAGAGATGGATGAATAACAAGCCAATGATTGTTTTGTTTCATTTTCATGCACATCTTATTGGGTCTAGCTACCTACATCCCATTAGTATAGTCATCATGCATCATGCAAACTGCTGGCACAGTTCACTTTTTCCCTATAAGAGGCCAAAGAAGCTAAAGCACAGAAGAGAAAGGGCACTTACAGTTGCTCTAGAGAGGCAAGTCCCTTAAATGCTTGCCTGTCAATTGACTGGATTTCATTCTTGTACAAATAGCTGAAACAAGAAACATTGGGGAGTATTAGCACACAAACAAGAGGTAATAACTTCAGATGGGAAAGAAGAATTAAGTTGACACATGAAGACAGTTTTCAAATTAATGGCTGTATTAGAATACAAACAGAACGTTTACACAGTAAGTATGATTCACCTTAGAGAAGATTCCCTTCCCTTTCTAAAAGGAAATCTCATATGGATGAAAAGTAAGTGGTCCAAACTGAAGATCATAAAACCATTCCATCACATAATTTGTTAATTCTTAATCTAGGGCTTACGAATTTTTGACCAGTTCCTTGAGAGTCTGAATAAAATGGAACCATTTACTTACAATCACATGTAAAGTATTCATTATAAAGGGAGAAAACTCACTGAATGTAAGAATTAACAACTGATCCTAATAGAGCTTTAAAATATCAAAAAATAATTTAGTACGTAAACAAAGCAAAGACTCAGTGGTGTGCTGAGTCACTCACTGAAAGAGAATAATGAATGGCTGTAAGTCACAGGGGAAAGATTGCCCATCAGAGTCACTGGTGAATTCCAACCGACAGAAAGGTGCTATCTTTTGGGTTAGTAGCACAAGTCCCTATGAACTATGCTATCAGAACTCCCTAATAATGAACAAGCATATCAGAGAAATCATGTCATTCACCTCATCACCTATTTCTTTATGGTCCATAACAAAGAATGGCTATCAATTAAATTTTAACGGTTAAAATATATCAAAATAAGCATAATAACTTCACACACAAAAGTAAGGTTAAGCAATTCTGAAAAGAACTACAAACCATATAGATAGTTCTTTGGTATAGATAAAACTGTGCTCCAAGGACAAGCGTGCTGAAATCAAGCCACCCTCTAGATACCTCTTGGAATTTTTTCTGGAATTGTGTGATTTCTGGATTATAGTATTTTGGTATAATAGCCTTCATCCTTAATAGGTTAGGTCAAATGTTGGCAAATTTTTTCTTTAAATTGTCAGAATGTTGTCATTGTTGTGTACCATAGAGTTGGAACAGACCCATAGCAGACCCTCTGGCAGGTTTTCAGGAGCAGTTAATTCCAAGGGAGGAGATTACCTATCCTTCTCCCACAGAGCAAATGGTGGCCTCAAACTGCATGTCTTTGGGATTGCAGCACAGCTTCTAGCTGCTAGGCCATCAGAGCACCCTAGGCACAAAATATTTTTTTTTTCTTTTGATACACAGTTCTATAGCAAGGAGGACTTCTGACAATGCATGGTCTAGCTGTTAAAGGAAAAGTTGACTGTCCAACTGCTTCACAAGTGGAAGATGTGTGGTGTTAGAAACACTCCCAGGCAGATCTACTATGTTACCAGTGGACTCAATGGCAACAGGTTTGATTTTCTTTGTTACTATTGTTATGTTTTGTATAGCAATAAAGTTTCAGAAGATCCCAACATTTTTGCTTTAAAGAAAAGGTAAGTAAATTTTGTACTCAGACGTACAGAAATGCACCATCGTTCTTTCCTATAAACAATCTGGTTTCAGTATCCAAGGTAGACTCACAAATCAAAATCCACTCTTCTTCATTCTGACTTCAGACAGACATTTCTATTATTTAGGAAAAATTTATCACCTATCTATTCCACTAAACATAAAATGGTTTTTTCTTTCAACTTATGTAATACTGCATACTTCATTTTGTGAAGACAATGTGTTTGAATCCCCTTCAATCATAATGCTCATTTTAAAAGGGTCTGCTCTGCTATCTTTAAATCTTTCCATCCATTTAAATGATTCTTAACCTCTTCCCCTGCAAATTTGTACTAATACTGTCCCATGAACAACTGTAAACTTGATTGTACACCAGTCAAAATTTCCCTACTAAGTGACAACTCGGCCAGCACTTAAAAGCACACTGTGGGCTATTACATTACACTACATGGGTTGGGATTCATGGGCAACCACTTACTAACTGTGTGACCTTGAATATGATGTTTAACCTTTTTGTGCCTTGAAGTTTTATGAGCTGTTTTTTTGATTAGTTTTGTAGTTGTTTTGTTTTGTTTCTTCTTCTGTAAAATGGGGATCAATAGAAATATCTTACAAAGAGGACTGAAAATATAAAATCAACAGACCTGAAGCCCTTTCAATACTATCTGGCTCAAAGTAACTGTGTTTAAGTGTTCACTAAACAACAACAGGCTATATATACTGACATCACATTTCATGAACTTAAAAAAAATTTAAAAGTAATTATTTTAAAAAACACATTAAAAAATTCAACCAAAATAATCATGATTGTATGCTTAAAAAAAGATTGGAGTAACATTTTTTACCCCTAGTAAGAACTGGTATGGAATAATCAAAGAGAAAGTTAAAATTAATTCTTTCTTTCATAGGCTTGATCTTTTGAATATATGTCCTATTTTAAGGTTAAGTCTCTTAATTATGAAGATTTATGGCCTTAGCTATAGAAATAGTAAAGTTCCAAGAAGAGAAGAATATTCACCTTCTAAAAAAACACATTGACACACAAATATACACTCAATCTATAAGGCTGTAATACTAAAATTTAGGAGAGGACTAATATACACTCAATCTATAAGGCTGCCATACTAAAATTTAGGAGAGGACTTGAGCATTTACACTATCCCATTTTACAGTTTCCTAAAACAGTGTCTATCAGAATATACTCTACCAATATGATTTAAGGGATCAAGAGAGAAACAAAATTGGGAATCCCAAACAGCTAGATATGTGTTACACTGCAGAACCCTATCTTTATAAGTTTACCCTTGCTTTAAATAATTTTTTCTTATCAATGATCTATACTATTCCTTGATTAGTAACCCACTATTTCATTCCTATCATCTATGATCTGTATTATCTACTGCCAGTGGGAATCACAGACATATTACAGTGGGAAGAAAGAACAGTTGTAGAATGAATGACTTGAGAATGAGTGGTCAGTTAACAAGTTTGTAAAATTATCATTTAAAATAGACTATTCCAAACTGTTTAACATTCAAATTGTGTGGAAAATAGAAAATTGTTGTTAAGTAACTGAAAAGGAAAAAAGCAAATCTTAAAAAGTACATTATTTTTTAAAACAACATGCTGGTTATCAGTTAACTGACAAGGCGTTCTAAGAAATCAAAAGTTCTCCTTTGGAATTCACGCAGTATTTAAAATGCAAGGAAAAAAGAAAACCTATTAAAATTCTAATTTTAATTAGAAAACTTATCATTCAATTCAAAAATTAGTCAAAATATTAATGTCCACAAAGATTTAATAAATTAGGATACTATGAAAAATTAGTGAATAAAAAATTGTATAAAGTATTTTCAAATATTTTCATTAAACTGAATATACTGGAATAAACAAATATAAAGTCATCTGTGTGGTTCAGACCACAAAGTGGATGACAAACACTTCAACTTGTCAAGACCCCACAAGTAAAGCTAATTTTTTTAAATTATTTACAATTTTAAAACAAGTGCCTCATATGAGTCTGAATCTGTACTTCCTGAAGTAGTCATCTAAACACTACAATGCTAGGGGTGAGGGAAAAGAAATAAAAATTGAAAATACTGATTCCACAAGTGGAATTTTTTTAAAGGTAAACTAATTCATGAAAGTGGATTTTCATTTTAAAATAAAATCAATTTAGTTAACTATAAAAAAGTAAAAGCTACTTAGAGAAACACTGGAAGAATTAGCAAGGATGGGTGACATTCGACTGGGATTTATAATTCCCATCTTTATATTTTACTTTTAACTAGATAGGCCTACACAATGTGGAAATTCAAAGAGGCTGTAAAAGCTTGTATTCTGCATCACTTAGGTCAGTTGTTCATATTACCAACTAAAAATAAGTTATCATCTCCCATCTCAAACATTTTCATCATTTATCTTAAAATAATTTTCAACAGCTCTGCACATTAAAGGAAGGTCTGTAGACCGAGTGGATAAGGAGCTATGCTGTCAACCCAAATGTGGAGATCCCAATTCACCAGCTGCTCCACAGGAGAGAGATGGGCAACCTATTTTACTTACGGTTTAATAGCAAAACAGAAAAACTCATATACTGATGGACATTCATTTTAAAAATTCCAGGCAAAATTTCACTCACCTTCTGAAAGCAAAAATCTCTTTAGAGATGACTTATAAATAGGAAATAATTTAGCTCAGTGATTAAATAGTTCAAATAAACATTTATAGCATTAGCTTTGGGGTTAAAGGACTGATCACTAACTTACAGATATTTTAAGTTTTCCAAGTCTTCAAATGACCCACCAGGTATCCTTTTGATCTGATTATTGTTGAGAAGCCTATAAAAAAAGTTTCAGTAAGAATTAGAAAAAAAATCCTAAACTGTACTTATGAAACAGTCCTTTAGCCTTGACATATGTAAAATTATTAATCTACAGGTTTTTATATCAGCACACTTTGCATGCTAAACTAACATAAATAATAAATATTTAGGTATTTTACTTTTATGATTGAAAATTTTCAGAAGTAATAACATCACCTCACTTTTTTCACTTTTTAATATAATAAACCTCTCTCTTCTATGGAAAAGAGTGTAATATCTACTTTAGATTTTTCTAATTTAGCAAGTCAATTTTGAGGCAAATGTACAATTATAGAATGGTATGATCAGATGTGTTATTAAAACAATGTCCTCAAGCCATTCATTTTCACAGATAAGGAAACTGGTATGCAGTAAAGCTAAATGATCTGCCTGCAGAGGTCAAGGCTAACTGGCACTACAATTCTCATTTCCTGTTTACTTGCACTTTACCATAAACTAATCTCTTAAAGTCATAGAAGAGGCAACAGGTTTAAGTTTTCCATCACGCTATGTGTACTCCAAAACAATCTGAAGTCTGTCATAAAACCACTCAGACATTAGTCATGCTTGTTTTTACAGCTCTCCCTTTAAGGTCTCCATAATGGGTCACAATGGACCGCATTAAAAGTTCTCCAACAGATGCGCTGAGTTCAGGGAAAATACTACATTTCTCAGCTTTGCAATCAAAGATGTGAAAGAGCAGACCCAATCAAAACTGTTCCCACAAACAAACAAAAAATTGGAAGGAAAAAGGGAAACTCTGGTTGCTTTTATGGACTATACTCAATATATAATAGTCAGGTAGACAGATGCCTGAAAAATCAGACCGATGAACACTAGAACAAATTTTTAATAAGAACCGGATTCCATAGTGCTGGTACTTTTCTCTGCATGTATTTTTCTCTATTTTGGTCTTTATTTTTCCCCATCATGCCTAATCAAGAAGCACAAACAAATCTGAGCATATAAACTATTGAAGGCAGACCTCCAAATATACGGCATAATGCTTTCTGTCTTTCTTGTCTCTATTTTTATGTTGTATTTTTCATATATTGATTTCCAATCAAATATTTCAACTTACAATGTATTCAAGTTTCTCAGCCGACTGAATGCCCCAGGCTGAATCTCTCTAATTCTGTTAAAGCGAAGGTCCCTGTGGGGAGGAAGAAAAAAATCAAGAAATACACTTATTTTACAAGAGAAATTGCAATCATTATGACTTTCACACTATTATTATATATTATTGTTTCATAATGGAGATAAGTCATTAAAAAACATGTTAACTGATGCATTTCACTCCTGGATGAATGACTTTAGCAATATGTTGTTGCTGTTATGTTGTTATGTGCTGTCAAGTTGTTTGCGACTCATAGCGACCCTATGCACAACAGCCCTAAACCCTGCTCTATCCTGCGCCAACCACACTGCCTCTGACACACCCATCCTGATTACCCCAGTCACTGAATCAATCCACCTCATAGAGGGTCTTCCCCTCCTGCGCCGTCCCTCCACCCTCCCAAGCATGATGTCCCTCTCCAAGGACCCGTCCCTCAGGGCAACATGTCCAAAGTATGTCAGACGAAGCCCCAGAATCCTTGCTTCCAAGGAGTAGCTTGGTTTAATCCTCTCCAAGATGAATTTGTTTGTCTTCCTGGCAGTCCATGGTACATTCAGTACTCTTCTCCAGCACCACAGCTCAAAGGCATCAATTCTCCTTCTATCCTCCCTAGTCATTGTCCAACTCTCTGATGCATAACAAGCGATTGCAAAGACCATGGCCTGCATCAGGTGCACCTTAGTCTCCAGGGAGACACCATTGCTCCTGAGTACTTTAGAGAGGTCCCTAACAGCAGACTTTCCCATCGCGATACACTTTTTTATTTCCTCACTGCTGGTGCCAAGAGTGTTGACTGTGGAGCCGAGCAAACTGAAGCTGTGAACACTCTCAATCTCTTCGTCATCCATCCTGATGCTTCCAATTGGTCCAGTGGCGAGAATCTTTGTCTTCTTGACATTGAGCCTCAGTCCATACTGAAGGCTGCAGTCCTTGACCCTCTGCAGCAAGTGCATGAGGTCCTCCTCAGTTTCAGCAATCAGGGTTGTGTCATCTGCATAACGCAGATCGTTAATAGATCTTCCACCAATCCTGATGCCACAATTCTCCTCATAGAGCCCAGCCTCCCGGATAATCTGCTCTGCATACATGTTGAAAAGGTATGGAGACAGGATGCATCCCTGGCGTACACCCTTCCCAATTTTGAACCATGCAGTGTTACCCTGCTCTGTTCTGACTACTGCCTCTTGGTCCAAGTATAGGTTTCGCATTAGCACAATTAAATGTTCTGGGATTCCCATTCTTCTCAGAGTCAGCCACAGTTTGTTATGATCCACACAGTCAAATGCCTTTGCATAATCAATGAAACACATATATTTGAATAATTAAATGAATGACAGCCTGAAAATACCATTTTATGAAAATTTGTTTATGTAATTTTGTTTTGTTTTAGGATTTTTTTTTTCAATATCAGCAGTACACTGACAGCAAACTTCAAGAACTTTAAGCCAGATTCAGAAGAGGGCCTGACATAACAGAAAGATCTTGGATAAAAGTAGATGATATCAGGAAGATGTTCACTTATTTTTTATTGACTATGGGAAGACATTTCGTTTGGTGGACAATGTTGAGAAGAACAGAAATTCTAGAATACTTCTTTTCTTGTGGAACTTATCTATGGACCAAGAAATTTTGTTAAAACAAGAGAATGTTGTATAGCTTGAAATCAGAAACGACTCTGATCAGTATTATATCCTTTCATCATATCTATTTAATATGTATGTGAAACAAATAATCTGAGAAGCTGGAATATATTATGGAAAAACTATCAGGACTTGAAGGAACCTCAATAACAAACTGTGATATGCAAATGACACAACCTTGCTTGCTGAAGAAAAGGTAACTTAAAGCACATATCAATAAAGAAAAAAAATTACAGCCGTTAGTATGGATTAGACTTAAAGATAAACAAAAATATTTAAAACCAAGCCCATGACCAACATCAGGGCAATTGGAGAAAAGAGTGAAGTTGTCAATACTTTCATTTTATTTGGATTGATAAGCTACATTGATGGAGGGGAAAAGTCAAGAAATCACAGTCATCATGCATTGGGGAAATATATTGAAAATGATCTCTTTGAAATGTTAAAAAAAAAGATGTCATGTTGAAGACTAAGGTGCACCTGACCCGAGGCATGCTATTTTCATCACTTTGCATGCACACAAAAGTTGGACAATGAATAAGAAAAACTGGCAAAGAATATTGGATATACTACAGACTGTCCAGATACAAGCAGGAGAGAACAAAATAGATGAGACCTTCTAAGAATCAAATCCCTATGCGTATCAAAAACCTTCTCCAACAGGGTTAAAAGGAAACCCACACACTGGGGCGTGTGTGTGTGTGTGTGTGTGTGTGTGTGTGTAATAAATTTGGTAATGACATGTCTAATAAGGGACTCAGATTTAAAATTTGTAGAATACTTCAGTACCTCTACAACAAAAAAGGTAAACAACGCAATCACAAAATAGGCACAGCTTATGAACAGACACTTCACCAAAGAAAACATTCGGGGTGCGAACAAACACACGAAAAAATGTTCAAAATCCCTAGCTATCAGAGAGATGAAAATAAAAACAACTATGATATTATCACCTCACCTCAGCAAATTTCAACAGGGCAGCAAACAACAAATGCTGGTGTTAGTTGTGGAGATAATGGAACTCTTACTGCTGGTGGTAGTATAAAATGGTGAAACCACTATGAACGTTTTTTTGGTGCTTTCTCAAAAAGTTGGACATAGAAATACCATTTGATCCAGCAACTCTCCTACTGGAAATATATCCTAAAGAAACCAGAACTGCCATCCAAACAGATATATACATACGCTTATTTTTTTCTGCATTATTTACAACAGAAAGAAATGGAAGCCACTCAAGTGCCCATCAACAAAGGAATGGACAGAAACACTATGGTATACTCCTACAATGGAATATTAATATGCAGCACTGAAAAACAATGAACTCGTAAAGCATTACACAATGTGGGTGACCCTGGAGGACATTATACTGAGTGAAATATTTCAGTCACAAAAGGACAAACACTGCATAGCACCACTGTTATAAAGCAGGTTTGACACTGGGAGTTGGGGGGGTTGGGAGGAAAATAGAATAAGAGTTGATAGAGAATAAGCATTGTATTGAAATAGATGAAGGAAAAAACTGTTTAAAAGGAATAACATGATTAGGTATTATACGTATGACGGTACCCCAGAACTAGTGGTATAACATTACAAAGAGGACTAAGTGGGGGAGGTAATTGTACAACAATGAATGAATGAAAATCTAACTTTTCTGTAAACTTTATAAAATTACAATTAAATTTAAAAAATTATTTAAAATAAAAAGAAGAGAGCCAGAATTTTTATTAGCAGCAAAGTCTCACATACCTTGGTCATGTTATCAGGAAGAACCACTTAGGAGAGAAAAATGTCAGGCTTAGATAGAGAGCGAGTGACAAAGAAGATCACCAGTACAATATTGATACAGTAGCTGCAACAGTGGGATCAACACAGCAATGGGTGTGAGGATGGCAAGCAGGGCTGGGTACTATTTCATTCCGTTGATCACAGTGTCACTATGAGAATTGACAGAATAGCACTTAACAACAACAACTCTATATACCCTACTTTCTACCAGCCCACATTATAAAATTCAATGCCAGAAAGTCTTAAGACAATATTGATTAGGCTTACATAATTGAAAATTAGTCATCACGGTCAAGCCACCTATGCAACTGTGTGTTGCTGTTGTTGACTGCTGTCATGTTGAGCATGACTCAAAGCAACCCTATGAAAAAGCCTGAAGCCTTTGTACAACCATCACTATCAAAGTTCATAGAGTTTCCAGAGGCATGTTGTTTAGGAAGTGGATGCAATTGTGTAAACACTTTTTTTTAAATACCATTACTTTTATGAGCTGAAATTCAGTTGTATATCAGCTATCTAAATTGTCTCAATGAGAAAGTTTAATATGATGCCTCAAAGCTGAGGAGCTAAGTACGTATATAAATCAGAAAAATACAGCTACTTAATATATGATTTTTAATCTAATGTTGCCAACTGGCATTTTAAACACAGCTACCCTTATAAACAAACACCTTGGAGACAGGGCAAGTTTAGTTCTAGACGACCCCAATTAAGCAAACAACACAATAAAGCAAGTCACTCAAATTTTCACTGTAACATAAAAGTTATGTTTACACTAGATGATGGTCCATTAAATGCAAAAGCAACCTGAAAATGCTTGAAATATGGCTGCTGTTGTTGTTAGGTGCTATCAAGTTGACTGACGCCTAGCAACCCTATGAACAACAGCTCTGAATCTTGTTCTTTCATGAATCATTCTCACCGTCTGTTATGCTCAAGCCCATTGTGGTAGTCAGCGTGTCTAATCTGTCTCTTTGAGGGTCTGTCTTTCAAGGACCCTCTCTACCGTTCCCAACGTGTTATATCTCTCCAAAAACTGTTTTTTTCTGAATATTATGCCCAAAGTGATTGAGATGAAGCCTCATCATCCTTGCCTCTAAGGAGTCCTCTAGTTGAACTTCTCTGTAACTGGATTTGTTTGTTCTTTGGCAGTCCATGGTATATTAAATACTCTGCCAACATCAGGATTTAAAGGCACCCAATTTTTCTTTGGTTTTCCTTATTCATTGTCCAACTTTCAGATGTATAGGAAACAACTGAAAATATCATGGCTTAGATCAGGTATACTTTAGTCTTTAAACTGACATCCTTACTCTTAAGAAGTGTGGAAAGTTCCTTAACAGCCAATTCCCTCAGTGTAAATATGTTTTGATTTACTGACTGCTGCTATCAAGGGTGTTGATTGTGAGCCCAAGTAAAATCAAATCACTGACAATTTCAATCATTTATCCATCTATCATGTAGGTGGTAAGTGATATATTGCTAGAATTACTAAAATACAACTCAGGGACACAAAGTAAGTACATGAGTTGGAAAAAATGGTACTGATAGCTTTCTGAGACCGGTTGCCACAATCTTCAACTTTTCAAAGGACACCAAAAGAATAATCAA